CTATTCTGCCTCCATCTTTGAGAGAAATCTGAAGGCAAGTCACCACTCCTCAGGTAAGATGGACCCTGACTTTAGCTTCCATGAGATTACAGGCAATTGTACAATTACATATCTGCCACGAGGCCTCCCTGCATCATATAAATGGCTGAGTTGGTCAAGAAAATGTTTGAAGTCCCTCCAACCATCAGCTTTTAACCTAATGATAGTTGTCATTTTTCCATTCTAGGTTATATGGAGACAGCAAAGCAGACCCCACGGCCATGCTAGGAACATGAGAACATTTCTTAACTTTCCTCTGAAAGCCCATGGAATGGAGAGGTAAACTGCGTGCAGTCCCCTGACCTCCACTGTCTGTCTCTGGGCTCGCCCTTCAGTCCTGAGGAGCCTTGCGAGACCCTGAGAGCATCGTACCTCTCTGTGGAGGCCTGCGTGAACCCATGAAAAACCAGCCTGGAATCCTGTCTCACCAATCCCTTCCCAGTCTGGTCTGCAAAACCAGCAGACAGGAGATTGACATAACCGTCCTCTGGAAGGCTCCACCCAGCTGCCACAGCCATACATTAGATGGAGCTCTGGGAGTCTTATGGAACAGTTAGGGGAAGGATTGAGGGCCCAGAAGAAGATAGGAACTCCACAGAAAGACCGACAGAGTCAACTAACATGGACCATTGGCTGTTCCCAGAGACTGAACCACCAACCTAAAACCAAACTTGTTTTGGGATCTAGGCCCCTCTCATGCCTATGTAACAGAAGTACAGCTTGGTTGTCATGCAGGTCTCCAAACAATTGGAGCAGGAACTGTCCCTGAATCTGTTGCCTGCAGATCAAGTCACCCTAACTGGAACACCTAGTGTGGCCTCAGTGGCGGAGGATACACTTAGTCTTGTAGTGACTGGATGTGGGGGGTGGGGGTGGGGGAGGGGTCGGTTGGTGGGGTGGGTAGGGTACTGGGGGGTTGTCCTTCTCAAAAGAGAAGGGGGAATAGGGGGAGGAACTGTGTGAGGGGGTACTGGGAGGAGAGGAGGAGCTGATATTGAGATATAAAGTAAAAAAAAAATGTTTTAAAGGCCACGGCATGACACCGACCCATATTGTCTTAAACTGTTGTTTCTCTATGTTCCGTGTGGTACTGAAATGTACTTTATGTACCTCAGGTAGCAGATTGGCTGAGAGGACACATTTTCCTGGTACTTCCTGTACATGTCTCACGTAGAGGAATGTGTGGGTCAGGGTGAGATCACCAACCTAAGATACACTGCAAATAATAGCTGTCCATGAGGAACAACGCAATGTGTGCTATTTAAAACCAACATGTGCCACTCATTTCACTTCATAAAATGCATCTCTTATGGTGCCAGGTTTTCAGGGAGGGGGCTCTCCATCCTTTCTCTACAGAATTACCCAGACTGCTTGGTGAGACCCTCAGATAACCCACACAGCTCCTGTTTCCCAGTGCAGTCGCTTTACTGCTCATTTTCCAGAGAAGAGAACAGTGGACACTAACTGTTTAGAATCTCAGACACAGATGGGTACTTCTTAAGGGTCCACAAAATGACATTTTTCTCTGGGTTCCTTCTTTCCCCTCCCTCCCTCCCTCCTTCTCTCCCTCCCTTCCTCCTTCTCTCCCTCCCTCCTTACTTCCTTCTTCCTCCTTCCT